GTAGCAGCCCAAGGAGAGGATAACAGGATTATATCAGTATTAAAACAGATTATAACAGTATTGTAACAGGATTCTATCAGTTTTAAAACAGATTATAACAGTATTATATCATCTGAGATTATAATCCGGATTAGACGTCCTGAGCTGCAGTTGCTTTGAGGATCTTCAACATTACTGTCTGAATGAAGAAAGTTGTGTTTAAGAACAAATCAATAAAAAGATAAAGAGACTGACATGGTTCCTCAACAGAACATATTAAATGTTTTTATTTTCCCGGACAGACACGTCATCATGTCTGCATAAGATCCTGCAGGAGATCCAGCCCCGGGACACCAACGACTTCTTCAGCAGTCCCAGAGAGCTGGACCCACACCGAGGAGGTGATCCCAGTCCAGTCCAGACCACAGCCCCTCCATCCATCAGCACAGGTAACCTGAGGCTCATTTCACAAAACTCAGATTAATTAATCCAGGATCTGAGCTGTAAGCTGAGCTTGAACTAGCCTTCAACTTGTAAACAGCTGTAACACCAAGCCACGCTCAATCAGAGCGGCTCAGAGCAGCAGCTGTAAATAATCTGAGATTAATGCACGCTCACGGTTTGTTTACTAGACCCACTGGGTGGATCACAGATTACCTGATCAGACATGTGAGTCTCACTTCCTCCAGCAGTGTAAGGGTTAATTATGATTCAGATGAAGACATGAAGAGAAACACAGACTGATGCTGGAATAATTTCAAAAGTAAAAACTTTTTGTGTCTGAATCTGTCTGTAAATTATCTGAGATTAACTAAATGAACAAAATTAAAAGAAGCAGCTGATCGCTCAATGAAAATAATTGCTGATCTAGTTTAGTTTATGGGTTTAAAAACAAGATCAAAAACACTTTATCTGATATCAGTCTGTAAAACCTGGTTAGACGAACAGTTTACTGCAGTAAAATGACTGTTTACTGCAGTAAAATGACAGTTTACTGCAGTAAAATGACTGTTTACTGCAGTAAAATGACAGTTTACTGCAGTAAAATGACAGTTTACTGCAGTAAAATGATGACAGTTTACTGCAGTAAAATGACAGTTTACTGCAGTAAAATGACAGTTTACTGCAGTAAAATGATGACAGTTTACTGCAGTAAAATGACAGTTTACTGCAGTAAAATGATGAGAGTTTACTGCAGTAAAATGATGACAGTTTACTGCAGTAAAATGACAGTTTACTGCAGTAAAATGATGAGTTTACTGCAGTAAAATGAAAGTTTTACTGCAGTAAAATGAAAGTTTACTGCAGTAAAATGATGAAAGTTTACTGCAGTAAAATGAATGTTTACTGCTCAAAAACACTAACAGATTAAATAAGCTTCTCTTTAAACCTGATCAGGTTAGTTTCAGAGAACTTGTTACTCTGTCATACAACAGATTCAAGGTTTAATTAATTCAGGTTTACACCTAAATCCTGGCTTAGTCCCTTATCCTAGCTTCATGCAGCAGGCCTCTGTTCACACCTGATAATCAGACCAGCTGTCAGCCGATCCACAGACAGCTGTTTCTGTGAACTCTGAGGCAGATTCTTTATCACCTGTGGAGTTACGTCCAGGTGTTTGGCTTTGCTTCTGTTACCTAAAACATGTGGTCTGAGGGAAGGACAGGTGACCAGAGTGGGTCCAGCTCTAAAACAACCAGAACAAACATTATATTCATCCACCAAGTCCTGATGGTCCACTGGTCTGATCTGTAGTGAGGCCTACAGTCTGACCTTTGACCTGTGTTGTCTTCAGGTAGTGAAGCCTACAGTCTGACCTTTGACCTGTGTTGTCTTCAGGTAGTGAGGCCTACAGTCTGACCTTTGACCTGTGTTGTCTTCAGGTAGTGAGGCCTACAGTCTGACCTTTGACCTGTGTTGTCTTCAGGTAGTGAGGCCTACAGCCTGACCTTTGACCTGTGTTATCTTCAGGTAGTGAGGCCTACAGAGTGACGGCTCAAATGGTTCTGGTTTGTTGCTGGAGGAGCATGAAGGAAGTGTCCATGCTGCTGGCTCATCTGGTCCAGAGCCTACCTGTGGTCCAAACCAGTACCAGACAGGCCGGTCTCATCACAGAGGAACAGGTGAGAACCCTCAGACACACACAGCTCCGCCCAAAACCTTTATTCAGCTGAAAAAGTGTTTGATAAAATAAGAGCTCATTTCTCTGAGCATTGCCCACACAAAATGTCTCCATTTCCCTTATTAAATCAGTCTAGCAGTATCAACACACACACACACACACACGGTTCTATCCTCACAGGAACTTTGCATTGATGTCCGGTCATATCTATAGCCTAACCTGACCAGGCTGTGTACCAGGGAAATGGTGGTGGTTGGACGTGGTTAAAAATTTGGGTGCATCTAAGGAAAAATGTTAGGCTCACCGGTCCGAACAGTGTAAAAAGTTAGTCTAGAGCCCTGTTCTTAGGTTAGATAGGTTAACAATATGTAGACTTTAGTCGACCCTTGTGAGGACGTTTATCTGGTCCACACAAAGACAAACAGTGTTTCTGGGTTACAGTTAGGGTTAAGACTGAGGTATGAGTTGAGATGAAGTTAGGATTAGAGTAAGGGGTCATGATTAGTTTGTAGAAAGTCCACAACAAGATAATAAAACCCTGCATGTGTGTGTGTTTGATTTAACAGTTGGACAGTACTTACTGCTCACTGATAGTTAGGAACATTATTTCTGTGTAGTGGTCCAAAGCCAAAGAAATGGTCCCAGCTATTATGAAATAGTGTTTTTTCATCACCACTTTTGAACCTCCTCTTCCTCCCGCTCCTCCTCCTCTCTATGGGTCTTTGACCCGGCTCTGTTCCATGCATGTAATTAGAGTTAGAAAACCTCACTTCCTTCACAAACAAGTGGTTTCTGAGAAACTGAGCGTGTTTGCACACAGGAAGTGGATATCTAAATAAAACTTCCCCATGCCACCTTTTTTCTTCTGCCAAAAGCTCACATGGTACTTTTTATAGTTACTCAGACTGGGATGGTTATAGGGCAGGTTTTAAATAGAGCCAGCCCCGCCAAGACCAGACCAGACCAAACCAGACCAGACCAGACCACCACCACAGCAGTGTGGACTCCTGCAGGCTCTAGCTGCCGTTCCCTGGTGAGGACAGTCCTGTCCTGAGGGTCCCCTCAGGGAGAGAAGTCATGAGGGACCAGAACCACTGTCATTGACCTGCACTACTGTCCCTGACCTGTACTACTGTCACTGACCTGTACTACTGTCATTGAGCTGTACCACTGTCATTGACCTGTACTACTGTCATTGACCTGTACTACTGTCCTTGACCTGTACTACTGTCATTGACCTGTACTACTGTCATTGACCTGTACTACTGTCATTGACCTGTACTACTGTCATTGACCTGTACTACTGTCATTGACCTGTACTACTGTCATTGACCTGTACTACTGTCATTGACCTGTACCACTGTCATTGACCTGTACCACTGTCATTGACCTGTACTACTGTCATTGACCTGTACCACTGTCATTGACCTGTACCACTGTCATTGACCTGTACTACTGTCACTGAGCTCTACTACTGTGATTGACCTGTACTACTGTCATTGACCTGTACTACTGTCACTGAGCTCTACTACTGTGATTGACCTGTACTACTGTCATTGACCTGTACTACTGTCACTGAGCTCTACTACTGTGATTGACCTGTACTACTGTCATTGACCTGTACTACTGTCACTGAGCTCTACTACTGTGATTGACCTGTACTACTGTCATTGACCTGTAC